CACCCCCTTTTTCCTTCACACCATTTGTGCTCTTGCTAAGATGATAAAATAACTCCCACCCCCAGGCACCTCCACCCCCTCAATTCTCTGCCTCCTTTTTTCCCCTTTGCCCTCTGGAAACTGACCTCCGCCCCTGGGTCTTTGCTTTCAGGTGCAGCCGAAATTCCGATACCCCTTCTACTATGAGATGTGCTGGTATGTCTTGGAGAGATACGCGTACTGTGTGACCCAGCGGTCCTACCTCACTCAGGAGTACAAGAGGGAATCGATGCTGATTGGTGAGTGCACAGCCGGGCTGGCCGCCTCAACGGCCCCTCGGGTGGAAGCCATTCGATGGGCCCTGGGTGCCAGGAAATCTTTTGAGCCAGAGTTTCAGGCAGATTCCTAGAGGCCCCTTAGCTGGGAAGCTGTCCTTGTCAGCTTCCCACTTGGGATACAGAGTCCGAGAAAACGAAATCATCACCCGGACAGAGTGACGGTGGTGGTTGGTGGCCTCCAGGTCTCACCGGTGACTGTGCAGATGTGGGAGGGGCCGGTCCTGGGCAGGATTGCTGAAGCAGGGTCCCCACGGAGCAAAGCATCCTGGCTTTTTTACTCCTCAGTAGCCACCAGCTGATCTTGTCCCCCCACTCCGTGCCCTGGGGGCTGGGTTTTGTCTGTATAAGAGCCGGCCCGTGAGGTGCAGCCAGTCCCCCACATCCCAGGCCAGCTTTGAGGCAGCCGGGGCTGGAGGCACAAGCTTGGCAGAGCAGCCCTGCCCCGCTGCCGTGACTTAAAGGGACATCTTCCCCCCAGAATGCTCAGCCCTTGCATCCTGACTCCCAGACACCCCCCCCAAATTGCCTCTAGTTGCAGCAGCCCCGCTCCTTGCCCGCTGCCTCCTGAGCTGTCGCTGCTGCAGGGTTTTCCTGGGCGCGGAGTCCGCTGTGCCTCAATTAGTTAATCTTTCTCATCACAGGATAGAAAAGAGCGATCTGTCCACACGATTTCCCCCATAATCTCCAGGATGTTTAGGCTCTTTCTTTTTTTCTTCCTTCCCTTGACTGCCATCCTTAGTGACTGTAGGGGTTGGTTTCAGGCGGGCATATGATAGGGGACAAATGTTTCTGCCGGGATTTTATTGGGAAGTCTCATTCGCCGCCTCCTGGAGACTCAGTTTTGTCGGGCGGGGAGGGGAGGGGTCTGTTGTGAGTCCCATTCCTGTCCGATGCTGCGATACTAAGGTGTGAAAAACACCGAAACCCACAACCCGCTCTCCTGAAGCCTCCAGGCAGGTAGGAGATGCTGTGATTGCAGTCGTCACACGTTCCTGAGGGGGCCGGAGGCTTGATTTTGCCAGGACTGAGAGTCCCGGCTCTCGTTTGGATATTTAGGGCTGTGGAAGGACATACCTGATTCCGAGAGGCACTCTTGAGCCAGTGTTTGGGTCATCGGCACCCACTTTTTCTTAAATTTTCTTGTCACTGTTTCCCCCGCCTCTCTAGTCCATCTGCCAAAGAGAAGGGGGTAAGTTAGGGAGACACTTCATTGATCAAATGCTAGCTATGTGCCAAGAGCCGTGCTTGGAGGGGCCTTATTTAGTTCGTACAACAGCGGAGGAAATAGTCTTTGCCATATATATATATATATATTCGCTTTTATTAATTTTAGAGAGAGAAGGAAGGAGAGAGAGAAACATCGATGAGAAAGAAACACTAATCATCAGCCTCCTGCACACCCCCTCCTGGGCATCGACCCTGCAACTCTGGCATGTGCCCTGACCAGGAATAGAACCAGTGACCTCTTGGTTCATAGGTCGATGCTCAGCCACTGAGCTACACTGGCCAGGCTCTTTTGTCTTATTTTTATATGTTGAAAAAGTAACATGCCAGGTGTGTTCAGAGAGGTGAAGCAACTTGTCTGGGTACACACAGCTGGAGGAAGCTGAGCTGGGGTTTGAACCTGTGTCTGACGGACGCCAGTCTTTCTAGAAGTGAGGGGGGCCTGGGCCATTAGAACTATCCAGAGAAGCTCGATCTTCAGAGGAAAGGGGAGGCCCAGTGAGTGGAGGTCCCGGGGACTTCCAGCAGGGCGTTTGGGTCTTCATCTCAGTCTTTTTTGTGATCCCTTCATCCCCACCCCCTGTAGATGCCCCAAGAAAGCCCAGTGTAGACGGCTTCTCCTCGGATTCCTGGCTGGAGATGGAGGAGGAGTCTTGTGAGCAGCAGCCCCAGGAGGAGGAAGAGGAGGGTGCAGATAAGGGGCCCAAGCCACCTGCCGATGGCCCTGCCTCGCCCACCAGCACCCCCTCTGAGGACCAGGAGCCCCCCGGGAAGAAGCCCAAAGCACCTGCCCTGCGGTTCCTCAAAAGGACTTTGTCTAACGAGTCGGAGGAAAGCGTCAAGTCCACGACGACGCCCGTAGACTACCCCAAGACGCCCACCGGCTCGCCCACCACGGAGGCCTCTGCCAAATGGACCCACCTCACCGAGTTTGAACTGAAGGGGCTGAAAGCTCTGGTGGAGAAACTTGAATCCCTCCCGGAAAACAAGAAGTGTGTCCCCGAGGGCATCGAGGACCCCCAGGCACTCCTGGAGGGCGTGAAGGTGGGCAGGGAGCTGTGCCTGGGGCTGGGCAGCTGAGGGCTGGGGGGTTCTGCTCAAAGCGTCGCTTTCCAAGGGCAGCTCAGCGCAGGGTGGCTGGGTGCGGACTGTCCTTGGAGCTTGTCCATGCGTGGAGAGGTCCAAGCAAGCTCTTCCAGGGTGTCCAAGTGGAGGTGTCCACCAAGAGGTCACTGTTTTGATTCCCGGTCAGGGCACATGCCTGGGTTTCAGGCTCTATCCCCGGTAGGGGGTGTGCAGGAGGCAGCCGATCAATGTTTCTGTCTCCTCTCTTCCTCTCTCTAAAAATCAATAAAAACATTTAAAAAAAAAACACCTTTCCTGGGTCTCCAGAGACTGTGAGGGACTGGTGGCCTGGCCAGGCAGGAACTCCCCTACTCCAGAAGGCAGCATCGGTCCACCTGACCTATTCAGTCTCCTGGCCACACAGCATTTAGCGATGATAGTAGAAGCTCTCATTTTCCTGGAGCTTTAGGAGACCTGTTCACCCAGTTTACAAACTCTTTAGCCTAAAAAGGGCCTCCTTAGGCAAGGCTCAAGACCGTAAATATCTCTAAAGATTGTCAAATTCAACAAATGAGCTAAGTGGCTAGATTATATGAAAAAGGGATATGCCAGCTTAGTGGAAAACACACACTCGGAGAGGTGGTAGGGAGTGGTGGGGACTGGGGTGTGTGAAGTCAGCTGCTACTCGCTTCCCACTGATTGCAACCAGTCAGGAACATGGGCCAGGATAGGCAGGACATTTTCTATGACTCTCCTGACTTTTTAATATTGGGAACTAATTACAAAAAAATGTTTAATATCATGCAGGGCAACCGCAATTGTTGGGAGGTTTAAATGAGTGTATATGTGGAAGAAGTCTACAACAGCATGTAGTAATTGAGATGTATTATGACACATTGTTGACTGGTCAGGCATTTTGTAAAAAGTCCCTCTTTGGGGATTGTGTGGCTTTATTTATTTGTTTTAAGTTATTTACTGGAAGCTTACTATAGGTTAGTCATTGTGTGAGGCTTTGGGGATGTAGCAGTGAATCAAGACATTTGTAAACAACCTTTATAAGTCAGGGGCATGGACTCAGTTTCTTATGAGTGTGTACGGGGTGGGGTGGAGTGGTGGACTTTGTGGAGGGCTTGCAGGATTTTTCTTGCTGACTTAGGTCTGGCCTCCAGCCCCCTTCAGAGACCTCCCCCCGCTACCCTGGGCTAATATGGCTCCTTTCTCTGGCCACAGAATGTCCTGAAGGAGCACGCAGATGATGACCCCAGTCTGGCCATCACTGGGGTCCCAGTAGTCACTTGGCCAAAGAAGACTCCAAAGGTAAGTCGCAGGTTGCCCGCAGCTGGGGCTCGGTTTTCACGGCCTTTCACATCCCCCTGCGAGGTGAACGTCGGCACCTTTTCTGGGGGCACTCCTGGGAGAAGGCACCCCAGCTAAGATGGTTTTCGTGATTTGTTTGTTGCAAGTTATTTGGTTTTGGAAAGGGGGCCAGTTTCCCTCTGGTGGGAACTGCAGGCAGTGCCCCCTGGTGGTCATCCGGGAAACTGTGGGGAAGTGATGCCTCACCTTTCCCTGTGATTAGGGGGATTTTCTTCCCCTTCCCGGTTTCCTTTCTGCCCCCACCCCGGGTTTCTTCCCTCCCTGTCTTTTTTCCCATCATCGGCTTCATGTGCTGTTTTCTTCTGTTTTGAAAGTGATTTTTTTCTTTTTGTGAAATTGATGCTCACCTTAAAACAGTCCAAAATGGTAGCCACTAAGCCCCAGGTGGGTCCGCTGGGGAAACGGGCACCCATTCCTTGTGGGTGTTGGGTTCTGATGCTCTCTGAAGCTCAGTGGGAGTCGAGGTGGCAATGGGAATGGAAAAGGTTTCGCCTCCTGTCTTCTGCCTTTAGTTCCACGGCCCGTGGAAGCTTGTGGGGTTTTTAAGTTGGCATTTCCCCGACCCGGGCAATAAATAGAAATGCCATGTATCAGACCACAAACTGTTCTTGCAGATGTAGCACCTTGAAACAACCAGCCAGGCCCCACGGCTGTGCTGAAGCTGAAGAGGAAACCGTGGCTTTGCCTCACTGCCTCCCGGGGAGGGATTAGGGTTTGCAGAGTGTGGGCTTTTAAAGACACAAACTCACCACTACCTGCTGTCATCTCAGAATCCAGGGAGAGGTCCAGGTGAGCCTCTAGGGGGACATCACTTCAGGACTGCAGACGTGCCCTGTCTTCCGTGCCTGAGACCCTCGGCCCCCTCCTCAGGGCCTTACAGGCATTAAAACACACACACAAAAAAAACCCTAAACTTCTGCCCCCCTTTTCTCCAACGCCCTGGAAACAGGAAGCTGGCTTCTGGGGGGAGCAGCCCTTACCTAAGATTCCCGAGGAGGAGCGGTTATAAGCACCCAAGTTTGGCCTGGGCTCGTATCAACACCAGTGGGAAATATTGGAGCCTATGCGTTGGTGGGAAAGAGTGAGTGGGAAGGAGAGGGAAGAACTTTGGACATTTAGCAACATTTACGGGGTACCGGTCTTTTTTTTTAAAAAACACCTTATAATAAAACAAATATAATCTGCACACCATATACAGTTCTGCCACTTAAAGTGCACAATGAGATGTTTTTAGTCTTTTGAAAATATTGAAAGAGTTGTATGGCTATCACCACAATCTAATTTTAGAACATTTTCATATCCCCAAAAAGAATCGGGGGTCATTCCATCTTCCCCTGAGCTTTCTCTCCTTCTGGACATTTCCTAGAAATGGAATCATATAGTATGTGGCCTTTTGTGATTGGCTTCTTTCACTTAGCACAATATATTTTTTTAAAATATGCTTTTATTGATTTTTTAGAGAGGAAGGGAGAGGAAGAGGGAGATAGAAACATCAATCAGCTGCCTCCTGCACGCCCCCTACTGGGGATAGAACCCACAACCTGGGCTCGTGCCCTGACCGGGAATCAAACCGGTGACCTCTTGGTTCATGAGTCGACACTCAACCCCTGAGCCACACCAGCCAGGCCACTTAGCACACTATTTTTAAGCTTCGTCTACGTTTAGCATGTGTCAGGACTTCATTCCTTTACATGGCTGAGTAATATTCTGCTGTAGGCCTACATGTCACACTCTGTATCCACTCACCTGTTGATGGGCACTTGAGCTGTTCCTACTTTCCGGCGACTGTGAACAGCGCTGCTGTGAAGGTTTGTGTCCAGGTTTTTATGGGAACACGTGTCTTCATTTCTCTTGGGTAGATACCCAGGAGTATAACTTGACCAGTCAGATGGTACCTCTATGTTTAACTTTTTGAGGACCTGCCAGGCGGTTGTCCACAGCGGCTGCTCCGTTTTCCATTCCCACCAGCTGTGGACGAGGGCCCCAGCTTCTCTACACCCCCACCAGCTCTTACTGTCTTTTTGATGAGCCGTGCTAGCTCAGTCTCTTTTGTTTTAATTTAGTTTATGTTTTCTATCATTTCCTTGAAGTTTATTGTATGGGTTTGCAAGGGCTACCCTAACAACGGATCACAGACTGCCTGGCTTAACCCACAGAAGTTCATTTCCTCGCCGTGCTGGGGTCCGAGGTCTGAGATCAAGGTGTCAGCTGGCAGGATATATTTCTTCCCAGGGCTGTTTTTGGTGTGGAGATGGCCGTTGTCTCTGTGTCTTCACATGCTCCTCCCTTTATGTGTCTGTCCCCTAATCTCCTCTACTTACAGTGACACAGTCATACTGAATTAGGGCTCCACCCTAACAACCCGCTTTTAACTTAGTTACCTCTCTAAAGACCTGTTTCCAAATACAGGCACATTTGGAGGTGCGGGGGGTTAGGACTTCAACATAGGATCTGTGGGGGGCCACAGTTCAACCCACAGCATTTATTATAAATTATTTCAGTCACCAGAACATATAAATAATATGATAATGAAGACCATGTCCCCTCCCTACCCCCTCAGTTCTAGAAATAAATTCTTGCCAGTACAGCCCCAATGCCCTGGATGTTCCTCAGTGTATATACCAGTTTTTATGTCTTTTTAAAAAAATGTATGTCTTTATTGGTTTCGGAGGGAGGAGGTGGGGAGAGGAGATAGAAACCTCAGTGGTGAGGGAGGCCTCATTGATCTGCTGCCTCCTGCTGGGAATGGAGCCCACAGGCTGGGAATCCGGCCGAGATCTCCTGGATCCTAGGTCAGTGCTGAACCGCTGAGCCACGCCTGGGCGGCCAGTTTTTAGGTCTTATTTAACCCTTACAAGGAGGCTAGGCGGTGGATGGTCTCATCCCCTTGGTGCCGTGGAAACTGGAGACTCAGAGAGGTACCCTGGCACACTTGGGGCCACACAGCGTGTGCGCAGGAAGGAGTTTTTGTCCCCAGATGTGTTCCTCTGCTCTGAGGAGCTCAGTGAAATGTGGCGAGGGGGAGGGGAGGGAGGCCTGGTGCTATATTTATGCGTTTCCTGGCCCGCGAGGTTAAAAAGCAACAGGAACGGAAGGAGTAAATGACCCAGTGCCCGGGCCGCCGGGGTCTCTGCGTTCCCAGGTCTGCAGCCGGCCTCCTCGCAATTTCATGCAGGTTGGGCTGAAAGATCAAGGGTGCCATTGAGGCTGTCAGGACGCGAGGCGGCAGCGGAGCTGGGTCTGGGTCTGGGTCGGGTTACTTAACAAGTAATTAATGAGAAATGATGATTAGCCAGAAGCGCTTTGATCCGGCTCCCGCAGCACGATGCCCTTTTCTGGAAGTGATTAGGTGCTCTGGGGTCATCTCTGATGTGGCGTCTCTCAAATCGGAGATGCGACGGAATCACCGTCCGTCACCACGCACTCCACTGGCCGCTTCCACCCGTCGTGATGGATTTGTTTGATCCGTCTACACTCTGGCCGCTTCCTTTTATGACCAGGTGGCGGGATTTGGGGGGAGGGGGGGGAGCCGTCTGTGACCTTGGAACCAAGCCGAGGGGATTGAGCTTATTTAAAGCCCGACCTCTGAACTCAGGAGCCAGTCGACCTGCTCGCCAGCCAGACACAGCTACCTGGCCGGCTCGTCTGGTCATTCCCGGGGAGGAAACTGAGGAAGGGGGGAGGCCCAGCCTCGGCTGCCTGGAGAAAGCCAGGCTGTTGGAGCACACTGCTTCTTTTTTATAAAAAATGTCTTTATTGATTTCAGAGAGAGGAAGGGAGAGGGAGAGAGAAGCACCAATGATGACAGAGTCATTAATTGGCTGCCCCCTGCATGCCCCCCCACTGGGGATCGAGCCCGCAACCCGGGCCTGTGCCCTGACCGGGAATCGAACCCCGATCTCCTGGATCCTAGGTCGATGCTCAACCGCTGAGCCAGGCCGGCCGGCACGCCCTGCTTCTTAATCCATTATCTCTAGTGGCCAACTCAGGCTGCCACTTGAATTTCAATTATTGGCAGTTTCTTTGGAGTGTAGGAGCAGAGAGGCCAGCGTGCGCATGAACAAGCGCAGTGACGGGACGTGGGGACAGTCCTCTTCAGCGGTCACTGGATCGGCTTCCTCACGAGGAGGGGAGGGGGCCCCACAGGAAAGTGACACACACACACCTGATGTGTGTGTCACCCCCGGCTCGGCTGCGTTTCTCTTCCCCTCCCGCCGCATTGGTCACTTAGACATGGGAGGCGACAAGGCCGGTGTCTCCGGAGTGACACAGCCCTTCCCGGAAGGAGAGGCCCGCAGTTCGTTCCGAGAGGCCCCCGTGTACTTCCTGTTCCTACTCGGCTCCCGAGTCCTGTCACCCCGAGTCATTCAGTCGGCGGTGTGCAGTGGAGGTGGAGGAAGCTGGCGACAAGAGTGACTGCTGTTCGTGTCGTCTGCTCAGGGCCAGGCAGTGCGGTCCAGTGAGGACCAGTCCTCAGGCATCAGCTTTACCTGGGGAACATGTTGGAAAAAAATACAGCTTCCACCTTGGCTGAGTGGTCAGAGCATCGGCCCACGAACTGCAGGGTCCCGGGTTCAGTTCCAGCCAAGGGCATGTACCTGGGTTGCAGGCTCGATCCCCGGCCTTGGTCGGGGTGTGTGCAGGAGGCAACCAACGGATGTGTCTCGCTCACGTCGATGTTTCTCTCTCTCTCTCTCCCACTCTTTCTGAGAAAGCAATGGAAAAAAATATTCTCGGTTGAGCATTAATACAAACGAAAGATGGTCTGCTCATTCTGAACAAAGCTGATCACATCAACAACAGAAGAATCCACCCCTAGCCCACCCGCCAAAGGGGGGCGCAACAGCTTCTCGCTGTCTCCAGGCCTCGTTGGTGTCTCGGACCCCTCTGTAAATTGAGCCTCAGTCAAACTCTTCTCTGTGACCTGGTGGGAGGGAGCC